AGCATTTCAAAGTTGTTTCATCAAAATTTATATTTAGTTTTTTCTTCCTTTCTCAAGCTTTAGCTGGCAATTTGAATTTCAATATGTTATTTATTTTTGGCAAACCTACTTTGATACTTTTTAGTATGGACGACATGAATCGCTACATTATGCAACGACTAGTTAATGACGGACTTAGACCCAATCATGAAATTACCTTGAATAATATACAATATAAAATTAGGTACCTACCTATGGTATGGTTGGTAAGCAAGACATATTGTTAAAGAATATTATTTTAAAACTCATCCAAGGTTGCTGCAATATTTTTTGTCATTAAAAAAAAAAGTAATAAATAATAATAATACTTTTTTTTTTAAGATACACATAATAACATCTGCTAATAATTATTATTATAGTTATTGTATTATCAAGCAAGTCTGTTGGAAATAAAGTTTATTATTTAATTTAATTAAAATACCATTTAAACAAAATAAGTCACGAGCTGATTTTATCAATGCGGTTGTAGCTGGAACTCTTTCAATCATATTGGAACGATCTTTATTTCAAAATTATAAAAAAAATTCCCATATTACGGTTGATTTTTAATTTATATTTATATGTGACTGGTTTCTTGCATGTTTATTTGAGGAAATAAATAGTTACACAAATGGAAGATATTATTTTTTATAATGTCAGAGTCTGCTAATGACCGATAAGTAATCACACAATTAACTTTATTATTTCAAAATTTTCCAGTAAAACAAGATGGAAAATAATTGCAGCTATACATGCTTGAACAAATAACATAAAATAAAAATTAATAATTAATACAACAGTGAAATATATCACTAGTATACTAGTTTCCATTGCAGGAAATATGTACTAAAATTCCCCCACAAATACAAAATTATATTACAGAAGAAGTCGCATTATACAGGGTGTCCCACGAGGTTTTTCCTAACTGTTAACTTCGGAACGCATCATCGTATGTTCCACTGTACAGTTTTTTATCATTTTCTTTAACAAAGCCTTAACAAATATGGCATTGCCGCTTTTGTAATTTAATTTTCGACCAAAAAAAGGCAATATAATTTATCATGAGTTACATTTAAGATTTGAAAGTTGACGACCGAAATTGAAGCAAATGTGGTGAAATTGGATAACAATGGTAGAAGCGGCATAAAAAGTTACCCAGATCCTCAAAATTTCAATTATATTGCATGACGCGTTAGCCTTGATGCTCTCAATATCTTATAACCAAATCATTAACTGTTTAACACAATACTAAATGGATTCAATATACATATTTCAAACTACCATCACCTTTTAATTATAAATTTTAAAACCCCTGAAGTAATTTACTGACAAACCTATACAAAACAGTTATTTTTAATCATGAACCTAGTCAGAATAATTATTAAAAACATTATTTTAATTAAATCCTTTCAATAATTTTAATTGATTAAGCTTTTAATCAAAAATTCAGCAATTTGGACAACCATCTTACTTCAAGTACAAAACATTTTAATTAAAACTTTTTACTACTTGCAATTATTAAAACTTTTACTTAGGATCATATACTTAACTAGAACAATATTATTTTACAAATTCCAAGTAAACATTACACAATATAGGTATTTAAATTCTTTAAATTAGCTACTAGAGCCCTTAATCTTCCATAGTCAAATTCAATTTAAAATCTTCAATAAATTCATTCCACTAATCGGCAATAGCGTGCATTATGATTTCCTTAGCTAAAATATTCAAAAGTCATTTCACTCAAAGTCAATTGAATTTTTGCGATAATGTTCCATAGTCATTTCACATTTATAGTCATTGCAATTAAATTCAAATAAAAGTCTTCTCATGTACTTACTATAATAATTGTCTTTAAATACTTTTAGGTGATTAAGGTAAATCTTTAAAACTATTTAAATCTTTTGAGAACATTCAAATGTTTTTTAAAGATTTGAATATTTTCTAAAATGATTTAAATTGTAAAAAAAATTCAAATATTAAAAAATACTTTTGATCTAAATCTCTTTCTTCATATACAAATCTTAAATTGTTTGTCCAAATGAAAAGTATCTATTATCTATTATGATCCTTGATTTAATTTATTTTTTTTTGATCTGAACAGCTCTGCTTTAACCCCTAGCATAGTTTATTTTATCTTTATTCATAATATAAACTTAGTATATAAGTGATAATACCATGGGGAAAATATAAAAATCAACCTCCATTAAATACTAATAGCGCAAAATTTGACCTTCAAAACTTAAAAAAATCATGTCATCGCCATTATAAATGTCTATATCCCCCACTGAAATGAGAAGATGCTAATTGTTGCTAATTATTATTAATTTTCCCCTGTATAATAACTTACAGAAAAAGCGCGAATAAATAAAATAAATAATGCAATCTTATGCAAACATTATGGAATCATAATTTGCGAAAAAATATTATCTTTTTTTTTTAAATAATTTTTACTAAATGTTGAATGCAATTAAAAATATATGGAATTTTTGTTAAAAAGTTCGGTGACGTGTTCAAATTTTTAAGCTATCAGGATGACAATAGGTAGGTTTGTTTATTTGGATTTATATTTCGTTTTTCAAAATACATTTTATAGTATTAATTTATGGTAATTGCTTGTGTGAAAACAATCTCTGATTATATGAAATATAATTTCGAATAACAAAAATACCATACGAGAGCCCTAAAAAGTTTTGTTCGTAGCCTAAGAAATTTATACCTGAGCCACAAAAAGTTTTGCGAGGGCAGGCTAATTTTTCCAGGGCTGAGTATTGAGCCAAAAAATCACACTCGAAAGCCTTGTGCGTTCGACCCTATTGGCCTTTTTCCTATTTATTTTTTTTCGACAAAATGACCTCTACAAAACTTGTAGAGAATTACATTCTGATCAACTTTGCCTCATTACTTTTTTTGCTAGCTGTTTTACTTTAGGCGCTGCGGCCATTTTAGTGCTCAGAATTCGCAAAAAAAATAAATAGCAAACCTGATAAAATTCTCTATTACTTTGCTTGATGATATTTTATTGTAACTTTATTTCTTTCGCTTGTACGGCCTTTTAGGCATTTGAAAAATTTTATTTGACCTGGTGGACATTGTGGCATGTATAGCGTTTCTAAGGATTTGACACATTTTGCAAGTAAAATGTGGCGTTTCGTGAAATTGAATTTCACGGACGGTTGCACAATAGCTATTTGTGTATTAAGTGGACTGTGCCGATGGAAAGATATTGTTGATATTGATTGGCAAATATCTTGGGATCGACAAAAGGCACTTTTTGCTTGTAATGCACACTTGATTTTTTTACAATCGCATTTGATAAAAAATAGTTTAGGTTCAAAGAAACCAGTAGTAAAAACAAGCGCTTTTACTACTTTGCCGCTCTAAAGCGACAAAGTGGAGGATTTTGACGTAGTTTGACGCTCTAAAGCGGCAAAGTGGAGGTCATCAGGAAACGTCTACTTTGCGAGCACAAATTTAATCGACAAGGCCAATTGTAGAAAAAAAAAAAAAACATTTTGTCACTTTTCAAACAAGTAGCAAGTCTCAGTATTGTCAAAAAAAACATCATTTCGATTTCACCCTTTCACTCCGGGAAAATGATTTCACCGGATTAGTGATGTAATGTATCATTTCCTGGACTGAAACTGATAACGTTATGAAGTACATTACCAGTAATTTTATTAAAGTTACAATAATCTGCAGGTTTGCTATTTAATTTTTTTGCGAATTCTGGAGCACTAAAATGGCCGCAACGCCTAAACTAAAATAGCTAGCAAAAAAAGGCATGATGCAAATGTAATTATCTACAAGTTTTGTTAAGGTAATTTTGTCGAAAAAAAATAAATAAGAAAAAGGCCAATAGGGCCGAACGCACAAAGCATTCGAGTGTGATTTTTTGGCTCAATATTCAGGACACAGTCCCCAATCAGCCCTGAAAAAATCAGCCTGCCCTCGCAAATTTTTTTGAAAAACCCATAAATTTCTTGGGCTACATGTTAATTGCTTGTGTGAAAACAATCTGATTATATGAAATATAATTTCGAATAACAAAAATATCATACGAGAACCCTAAAAATGTTTGGTCAGTTCTGTTTAGAGATTACATACATTTTTAACAAACAGGTGAAATTAAAATATGTACATATTTTCTATGGATTTCAAATGTTCTTTAACCTCTTAAACTTTGATACAGTTTTATACATAATTATAATTCTTATCAGCCTAATAATAATAAGTGTTTTAAATAATTGAAAGATCCTTATCATCATTATAATCTGTCTCTGTCTAGACGGAAAGTAACTCAATTGTAATAGTTTTTTTATGCAAATTTACAATAGCTTAAAGAGAGAAAAAATGTTGACTTTGAACTTAATTTTGTCTTGAAATTAGCATCGAAACTAATTTGAAATTGCTCATTTTGTCTTTTGAGAACCCATTATAACGTTCTAATGAAATTGATGTGTTCTCATTTTCACTATAACTAGACCATTGTTTAAATTGACACAGATGATAGATAATTGCAAAATATCATAATAGCCCACTGTCCCGAATTAATATGGCGAAAATTTAGCAACAGGAAGTCTGTCACTCAGACATTTGGGGTCCCATTTGGTTTTATAAATCAAGTGCAAGGCCACATACATACCAATTATTAATGATGTAATGTGCATCTTAATACTTGATACTTATGCATTAAGCATGTGGCAACACTTAAAGAATCAAAAATTTTGATTTATTCAAATAACTTTAGTACATAAAACTAAGATTTGTATTAATAAAGGCTAAAGGAAGGCATAATCTCTTACAAAATCTATTTCAAAGGAATTCAAATATTAACAATAAAGTATTTTCCCACTTACTTTACCATATTTCGTCCAAAAATTATTTATTTATTGTTATTGGCACCGTCCTAATCGAATAAACCAATATTATTAAAGAGTTTCATGACACTTTTTCACTCAAACCGGTTTTTTTTTTTGCAGGTGATAATTTGACAAAGGCCGAAAAACTTCCAGAAGAAAAAAGTGCTAATAAGAAAAATGATACCAAACACTATATTAATTTTGGCGAAGAAGATCAAATGGTAAGTGAAGTTATAAAGAAATAAGTTAAAAATAGTAACTTCGTATGATTATTAATAAGCTACTTTATTCAACAAATTCTAAATATCATTCTTTGGTATTTTACAAGCGTTTAGAGTTTCCATTAAAGTCAAGGATAAACCACCTGAAACGATATATGAAAAATGGTAAAATCTAACTTTCCAATGTCTATGAACATTCAATGTAATTCATCCAGAGAATTTCTTTTCCAGGAGATACAAGGGTTTGTCTTCAGTAAGCTGAAATCCTCAATGTGCACGGTTTTCTATCTGACAACCCTGGGAATTTTAAGACTCGTTTTTCACTGGTACCCCGTATGGCATCTGAAGGCTACACACAGACGAACCGATTTGAAGAATGCCGAAAAAGTTTTAATTGCGGTAATAGAAAAACCCCCTTATTAATCGATATTTTATCCATATTATTTTGTAGGATAATTATCATGGCAAAGCTACGTCCCATTTTGTAAGGAACATTATTACATTGAACAGGTAAATATTTAATATTCATTAAAAAAAAAAATACATGACAAATGTTTTAGTGATAGTTTGCAAGGAAACTATGGTGATGGCCTGAAAAAAATGTTAAAATTCCGATTGCAGGATGGACAAACAAAAGGTATAACCTCCATTACACATGAAATAAAAACTTCATTGTGTTTTCTTTATAGAACAATATGAAATAAACGTAATCAATTGCAAGAAACTTACATACATATGGGACGAAGACAAAGGAAAATTTATCAAACTGGCCGGACTTGAAAATGGAATAACTCGAGCCAACTTACATGAATTTAATGGACAATCTAAAGAAGAGCAAATAAGAAAGTAATAATTTCAATCATTTCATTATGATAAAATTGATGAATTTTGTTCTTTATAGGAGAACCGTTTACGGTGACAACAAAATAGCCACTCCAGAACAAACGGTCATGCAGTTACTTGTTTTGGAAGCTTTGACGCCCTTTTACATTTTCCAGCTTTTCAGTTTGGTCGTCTGGTCTGCAGAACAGTATTACTATTATGCTGTCGCTATTGTTATCATGTCAGTTGTTGGTATTGCCACTTCTATTATACAAACTCGAAAGGTAAAAAAAAAACTTGTACCATTCATATAAAAAAAAAATGCATTGTAACTGAAATGATGCGGATATGGTCTTTGTTTGCTTCTAATTTTATAACCTTGATGGTTGCATGATCATAATGGTTATTCATGTAGTGTTTTTTTTTTTATAACTAACCATTTAGGGCCAAATTATGGACTGACTAGTAAACGTTACCTAGCAGGTACTTTCTATGCACTAGAGAATAGAAAGTACCTGCTAGGTAACAACCAGACTCTTACCAGTTGGTCCATAATTTAGCTCTTAGGAGGTTAAGTTATCGAAAACTTTTTGCATCAAGATACCAGTAAATATGCTATGCGGATACGAGCCCAAAATCGGTCTTTTTCCCATGTAAATCTCCATAAGAAAATCTAAGGTCCGTTCTGGCAATTTTTGTACCATTTTGGAGTGGGGGTAAAATTTCCAGGAATAAGCCCGCCCCCTTTCCAGAGCCCGTGTCTTTCATTGGTTGCACTAACTGGGAACAAACAGGAGTATGATGTTTCACGGTTAACTGGTTGGCCCGGGTCAAATCCACCAAATTTTAGATCAAAGGCTCCGCCGATCTAGAGATTTTCCCACGGCATCGAAACATTTCTCAGGCTCAGGTGCCCCTTTACTACTAACCTGACTTGAAAAGCTGTCTGTGTAGACAGACCTGTCTCGAAAAGCTGTATCGGACCTGTCTCTGGACCTCGGTCGGAGTGGATGTGGCTTTTTCTACAAAATCACTAGCCTGGTTCTGTATTCCCAAAAATCAACAACAGATACGTCAGTTGAATTCAAATTCACTGATATGCGGCGGGCGATTTCTACGCGACTTCGGCTTGAACTTTTTCAGAGCAGAAGGGAGTTGATATTGATATCATCAACTAGCTACTTAGGAAAGGAGGGCCCAGTATTCACCCTTATTAATTTAATTGCCGATTCATTTGGATGTTTATTGCAATTCAGCAATAAATTCATATAAATAGCTGGCCAAGCCGAGCAACAGAATTAAACCAGTGTTAGTGCCGCAACCCTGGGAACACCTCTCTGGAGTCAAGTCTCCCCAGTGCAAGTACCGCTACCCTGGGGAAGCTTCTCTGGGAAACTACATCGTCATCTAGTGCAAGTACCGCAACCCTGGAAAAACCCGTCTAGATAAGGATCAGTTAAACAACGATTAACATTAAACCTAACATTAGCACTAAACCGACATTCCTAAGTAGCGTCAAACTTGTATCCTTTTCCACGGAAGAGCATGCATGCTGGGTCTGTATTCACGTCACCGGGAAACAGTGTTCTGTCAAGAGGATTGCCCAATGCTCTGTCGTAGTGACCCATATTGTTATTTTCATAATACTGACAAAGATAGAGCAATCGTTCTCTTGAGAGAACGCTGTCCCCCGGTTACGAGAATACGGGCCCTGGAGGATTCATGTAATGCATAGCAAATATACATAAGCTTTGTTCCAACACACGAAAAAACCATACAATGTCCAATCAGGATTCTGCGCAAAGCCAAAAATGTGTGCGCAGAACCCGAAATTCGTATACAGAGTGGTTTCCAAACCGTTCATGGGACGGTTTTTGACGTGTTGGAACAAACCTATATTTTTATATTAACCTGAGCTCTCCATCTATCCACCCTACACCCCCCGTGGCAGAGAGGTTGTGACAATAGGATAGTTAATTTTTTATAAGGACGGTGGATTACGCGAAATAACGTATGATTTGATGATCAATGACGTGGAGAGTGGGAGATTTTAATTTATTCATATATTATATCACAAGAGCTTTAAATTTAATCGATTAAACTATCCAACATATTTTGAGCATGATTTTGCTTGGAAAATAGTTGAATGCACAATAACCTAATAATTTAAAAGTTATTGTGCATGAAACTATTTGCCAAAAAGCAAAATTATGCAAAAAATATTTGGATAGTTTAATCCATTTAAATTTATAGGTCGAGTGGTATACGGCTAGATTATTTCCTGAATAATTAGGATTGAATTGTTGGCGTCAATCCTATCCAAAGAGTTCTATTTATTATAAAATGTCAGAATATTTCTATAAAAATTCTGTCAAAAAAGGTAAACAAAAATTTAATCGCTGATAAACAAGGTCTTGTGAAATAATCACTTATTTAAACAAAATTCATTCAAAAAATGACGTTGTCTGATGGGTCTATTTTATAATGAATGAAATAATCTCATAAATATTAGAATGGCTCACCTGTCGAAGACGTCACTTGGCCCACCGGGATTTTGCCGGGTTGCCCGATGGGTCAGTCCGACACTGAATACCTCTTGGCCCTGAATGGTCGCAAAATGAGGTGTCCCTTCAGGCTGACATCAGTTTTACAATACATGCCGTGCAAATGGCATCTTGCGACCAATAAGCGGTATTGTTCATGTTTCAAAGTTGACAATGTCAAAATCTATCTTGGGAGAAAATAGACCATAGACAGCTATATACAGGTCCAGAGACAGGTCCGATAAAGCTTTTCACGACAGGTCTACCTACACAGACAGCTTTTCGAGACAGGTTAGTGGCAACGGGGGCACCTGAGCCTGAGAAATTTTTCGATACCGTGGGAAAATCTCTAGATGGGCGGCGCTTTTGATCTGAAATTTCGTGGATTTGACCCGGGCCAACCGGTTAACCGTGAAACATCATACTCCTGTTTGTTCCCACATTAAACGTCGGCGGCGTGCTGATTCAGGAATTTTTCCTGTGTTCCCACATACGGTCAATGACCTTGAAGCAGCGGCGGCTGACCAGTTAGTGCGACCAATGAAAGACACGGGCTCTGGAAAGAGGGCGGGACTTATTCCTGGAAATATTATCCCCACTCCAAAATGGTACAAAAATTGCCAGAACGGACCTTAGATTTTCTTATGGAGATTTACATGGGAAAATGACCGATTTTGGGCTCGTACCCGCATAGCATATTTACTGATACCTACTAGGCAAAACTATTTTGAATCATATTCAAATGCATATTCTTTGAAAGTTTATTTCTCATCTTTAGAATCAAAAAAATCTCAAAGGAACAGTAGCATTCACATCCATAGCCACAGTTTATAGAGGAGATGACATCTATGAGGAAATGTCTACGACCAATCTGGTACCCGGTGACGTAATTGTAATACCGCAATATGGTTGTGAAATGCATTGCGACGCTGTTTTGCTTTCTGGAAGCTGTATTGTTAACGAGAGTATGCTCACAGGTAATATATTATTGAATTGAATTATTTAATTAAATTTACCAAAAGAACTTTGGAACGAAATTCCTAAAAAAACTTCAATTGATGGCTAAGAACAAGGAACGAACCATTTAGGAATTCTTTGCCAAAACTGTGGGGAATTTAGAGGAACTTGTGGGAAATTTCAGGGAATTTGTAACAGGCATTTGCAGAGAATCTGGGAGTAAAATTCACATTATTCACCAATGATTTGTAGAGGTTTTAATTGGCTTTATTTCAAGCCTAATTACGTTATGATCAGATTGAAATTAACAAAGATGTGAGGTAAGATGTGGTTCAATGTCATTTTGGAAAAAATCATGCTTCAAAAAAAGACATTATGTTTGTAATGTTGTTTGCTCTATCGTTACAACACTTTGTTTAACGTCACCGGATGTAGGTCTATTTGCAATTGCTGTCACTTTTTCCGGATTCATGGAAATTCTATCAGTAGTGATCAAATTACCAAGGTATTTAACAATATTACACGCAAAGTTGCACTTTTCATGTTTGGCTCATAAATTAAATTGGCGGAGACATGAAACACGAGTTTTAAGTCCTCGCTATGTTCCTTGGAGTCCTGGAGAGCACACAGATATCGTCTAGGTACGCTAGCATTAATGCGTTACTGAGTCCACGTAGAAACTGATCGATCAAGCGCTGAAAAGTTCCAGGTGCATTTTTCAGTCCAAACGGCATCCTGTTAAAACGATAAGTTACGAAAGGAGTATAGTAAAGGCTGTTTTATCTCGATCAGGTTCATGAAAACTTATCTGGTGATATGCGGAACGCAAATCCGAACACGTCATGTGAAAAGTTCTTTTAGTCGAGTGAAGATCATCCATGCGCTGTAGCGGGTACTTGTCACTAACTGTTATTGCGTTTAGTCGTTGATAGCTCACACAAACACGCAGGTTTTTACTAGGAATCTGGATCTTTGGGTACCACAACCACCGGGGCTTCAATTATATGATTCTCCAAGAGTTTGTCAATTCCACTTTTCAGTAATTGCTTACGTGCAGGAGATAAACGGTAGGGTGGAGCAGCTATAGGCGGTGAATCAAGTGTCTTTATATAATGAACTGCATAGGGAGTATAGGGTCTCCCCCCGGCTTGAAGATATCCTCATTTTCTTTGATTAAAGCACTAAGAGTGCCACGCTCTGCTTGGTTAAGCATTGTACCTTCATAAGTATACTAATATTCATCTTCCATTTTCAGGAGAATCTGTACCCATCACTAAAACATCTTTGGACCACCACGAAACGTTGTACGATTTAAAAGAAGACGCCAATCATACATTGTTTTGTGGCACTAAAGTGATACAAACCAGAGCCCGAAGTAAGCAGTGAATATAGAAAACACAATTTTATTTTACAAGACAATAATTTGTAGACAATGAAAAAGTCTTGGCTGTAGTTATCAGAACAGGATTTCTAACCAGCAAAGGCGAACTAGTAAGAAGTATTCTATACCCTCCCCCAGCCGATTTCAAATTTGACAGGGACAGCTACAAATACATCGGAATTTTAGCGTTTATTGCCGCTTGTGGATTCATATACACTATCGTATCAAAGGTGATATCTTACTGAATGATTTTGACACAATAATTTCACCAAAATTTTCTAGTTGCAACGTGAAGTAGCTGGCATGGACACTATCATCAAAGCATTGGATATTATCACTATAGTTATTCCACCTGCTCTACCAGCAGCCATGACTGTTGGAAAATTATTCGCTATTCATAGACTGAAGAAAAGCAACATTTTCTGTATTAACAGTAGAGTTATCAATGTATCTGGTTCAGTAGATTGTGTTTGTTTTGATAAGGTTAGTTCAATAACTAGTTATCAAAGGTTTATGTGTTTCGCCTTCATTTACCAAACAGGGAATTCAATTTTTTCCAAACTAAGATCACCAGAACCACGAATTATTTGTTTCAGACTGGTACACTCACTGAAGATGCCTTAGACCTGTGGGCTGTGGTACCTGTAAGAGAAAAACTTTTGGTCGCACCAATAAAGAAAATTCTGGAATTGCCTTCAACCTGTGGATTACTGAAAGGCATGACCGTTTGCCATTCGTTGACTTCCATTGATGGTGAAGTGGTTGGTGATCCATTGGATGTCAAGATGTTTGAATCAACCAAATGGATGTTCGAAGATAACCATCACATATCCAAAAGTTATGGTAGTTTTACTCCGTCAGCTCTTGTTAGGTCTCCAGTTAATGTGTGTAAAACTTATATTAACCAGAAATCCATAATAATTATTTTCAATTATTACAGATGGCTGATGAAATAGGCATAGTAAAACAATTCCAATTTTCTTCATCATTGCAAAGAATGTCTGTGATAATTAAATCCCTAGAAGCTGTAACGTTTGAAGTATTTTGCAAAGGGTCTCCTGAAAAAATTATTTCATTGTCCAATAAGGATACAGTCCCTAACGATATACACCAACAGTTGAAAGAGTATACTGAACTTGGATACAGAGTCATTGGTAGGTGAACTGATTTTTACTGTTATTTGTTATAGTATTTATTTTCTATAACTTTTAGGAGTGGCTAGCAAAAAGTTACCAGATCACCTCACTTACCAAAACATAGTAAAAATGCACAGAGACGAAGTAGAAAACGAATTAGAATTTTTGGGCTTATTGATTTTCGAAAATCGCCTAAAGCCTGAAACAACTGGGATAATTAAAACTTTGAAGGATGCCCAACTAAAAGTAGTAATGATTACCGGTGATAATATTCAAACAGCAGTAACAGTAGCTCGAGAATGCCTCATTATTGAAAAAGATTGCACAGTCATTGAAGTATTAACAGAAAAACCTACCAGAAATGAATTCGCCAGTATTAGTTATCACGTTTTGACTCAACAATCAAATAAAGAGGTAATTTAATTTGAGATAATATTTATAGAAAAAATACCAAAGACTTTCTCTTCTAGGCTAGCATTAATATCCTGAATGGCACAAATGGCAAATCAAAAGACGTAAATATGAAATATTCCTTTGTGATCACTGGTCAATCATGGTCCAATATAGTAAAATATTTCCCCGATTTGGTACCAAAGATTGTGACTAAAGGAGCCGTTTTTGCAAGGATGTCTGGATCTCAAAAGCAACATCTTGTCGAGGAATTTAAAAATTTGGGATATTATGTTGCAATGTGCGGAGATGGAGCCAACGACTGTGGAGCTTTGAAAGCAGCTCACGTAGGGATATCACTCTCAGAAGCAGAAAGTAGCGTAGCTTCTCCATTCACCTCAAAAGAACCAAACATCTCCTGCGTACCCAAAGTTGTCAAAGAAGGTCGAGCAGCTTTGGTGACATCGTTCGGCGTATTCCAAATGATGCTGTGCTACAGCCTAACGGAATTCTTATCTGTGATTATTCTTTATGATATCGATACCAACTTGAGTTCAATGCAATTTTTGTTCATTGATGTTTGCCTTATTTTGAACTTTGCTGCCACTTTTGGAAGGACTCCGGCTTATCCTAAACTTTCTAAGACGGCCCCCAGAACTAGCCTATTGAGTTTCATTCCAATATGTTCTATGACATTACTTATGTTGTTGGTTTCTGTTTCACAACGTTTGGCATTTTATTGGATTACAACTTATCAATGGTTTACACCGTTTGTTTATGATCCAAGTGATGCTGGTATAACATCTTTTAATCCTTCCTATGAAAACTATGCGGTTTATTGCACGTCAATGTTCCAATACATTGCGATGGCTATAATTTTCTCCAAAGGCAAACCATATAGGAAACATATGTTTACAAACAAAATTTTTGTTTTCTGTTTGTTTGCTATGACTATTGTTTCTGGCTATATGACCTTGTACACTCCAGAATGGCTTGCAAGCATTATGGAATTGAAAGTACCACCAGAAATGGACGGTAGAATGATGTGTATTTATATAGCAGTGGGAACATTTGTTGCTTGCTACATCGTGCAATGCTTATTTGTGGAAATTTTCCTGGAAAAAATTGTCGAACCAGCTCTTTCGAGATTGTCTAAAAACAAAAAACCTTATTTGGAGGTGATGAAGTCTCTGCAACGTGATTCCTATTGGCCACCGACTAGTACAGAATTGACAAAGCTTGATTATGTTAACGAAAATGGTAAAATAAATGGATATCACAATGCTGCTTTTGATAGTTACCAATTTTAACTCAAGAAGGAATTTAGTTTTAAGGCTATTTTTGTATACAAATAAATAAGTATTAATCTTTTGATTTCAAGTTGTTTTTGTTCACCTTCTGATAAACTCTCAGGTAAGCAATCTGACGGATAAAAACGCAATCTATATCTACTCATTTTAGAATTTTCAATTTTTGTCTATTTCAGGCGCTAGGCTTTCTGAAATAATTCTGAGGTTATTAAATTGTTCTGAAACCTTCCAAAATGCTACTGGAAAGTGTTTTGGAACGTTCTCAATGGCTTATGGAAGTTCTAAAGTTTTCTAACTTGGCTTGTTTTGGAGCATTCTAGAAGTTTTTCAGTAATTTCTAAATTGTTCTGACTTATTTTTAAGTATTTTAGTTAGGAGCTCTATTGAAGCTTGAAAGTGTTCTAAGTTGGTTCAAAACAAGTCTGATTTGGATTTGAATGGATGGTTTTGGATACTTATTAAAGGTCTACAGTTCTACAGCAATCTAAATTTGCTCTTAAAAAAAAAGGTGTTTTGTAACTTTTAACCTGATGAATCCTAAGATTCTCGGGATTTTCGAAATTTTTCTGGAGATTCTAGAATGCTTGGAGTGTTTTGGAGCGTCCTAAAATGGTTTTCAAACTTATGAATTGTTTTTGAATGTGTTTTGGGGCATTCTAAAATGGTTCTGAAGTTTCCAAATTGTTTTGAAGCGCTACAGAATGCTTTCGGAAATTCTCAGTTGAATTTTAAGTGTTGAATTTTCCAAAAGGCTTATTAAACTTCTAAAGTGTTCTGTAGCAGTCTAAAATGGTTTCTAGTAACTTCTAAACGGATTCTGTGGGAAATTTTTGCAGGCATGTTAATGACGTCCCTAAGATGTCCACAAACGAAATTCAAGACGTCTTGCTAAAGTCTTTAAGGCGTCTTAAAGACGTTGTATGGTACAAAACCCAACATCTTCAAGACGTCTAAATTTCATCTCCAACGAGTTGTCTTGAAGACGTCTTTGAATCTTTTTTCAATACATGAACCATGAACCATTATGCACGTTTGAGCCTGGTTGTACCAAATAGTTACTTTAAAGATGCATTTAAAAGTCTAAATGTGCAAAATCCAGCTTCAGATATTTTGAAGATTGATTTGAATACTTCAAAAGTGGACATCTGAGGGAGTTCTGAAAACATAAGCTTAAGATACTTCAAAAGTCATTATGAACCTTTTCAAAGCTTCAGAGTCATGTCTAAAGGAGTGGAATTTGAGAAAGTACCTCGAAGTTACTCAGTAAAACAATTTAGAACACTTAAAATCCCACTCTGAACACCTTGAGGTCAGTTAAAGACGCTTTCAAAAGTCCCAAATATACAAAGTCAGCTTCAAATATTTCAAAAATTGATTTGAACACTTCAAAAGTGAACATCGGATAAACTTCTGACGACATAAGCTTCAGATACTTCAAAAGCTATTTTCAACCTTCTCAAAGCTTAAAATTTCACTCTGAACACCTTGGGGTCAGTTAAAGACACATTTAAAACTCCCAAATGTGCAAAATCGGCTTCAGATATTTCAAACATTGATTTGAACACTTCAAAAGTGGACATCTGAGGGACTTCTGAAAACATAAGCTTCAAATACTTCAAAAGTCATTTTCAACGTTTTCAAAGCTTTAGAGTCACGTCTGAAGGAGAGGAATTTGAGAAAGTACCTTCAGATACTTGAAAAACCATTTTGAACCTTTTCAAAGCTTCAAAGGCACGTCTGAAGGAGTAGAATTTGAGAAAGTACCTCCAGGTTACTCAGTAAAACAATTTGGAACACTTAAAATCTTACTCTAAGCACCTTAGAGTCGGTCAAAGACGCATTTAAAAGTCCCAAATGTGCAAAGTCGTCTTCAAATATCTTAAAGATTGATTTGAACACTTCAAAAGTGGACATCCGAGGGACTTCCGAAAACATAAGCTTCAGATACTTTAAAAGTCATTATGAACCTTTTCATAGTTTCAGAGTCACGTCTGAAGGAGTGGAATTGGAGAAAGTACCTCGAAGTTACTCAGTAAAACAATTTAGAACACTTAAAATCCCACTCTGAATACCTTGGGGTCAGTTAAAGACGCTTTGAAAAGTCCCAAATGTACAAAGTCGGCTTATAATATTTAAAAACTTGATTTGAACACTTCAAAAGTGGACATCTGATAAACTTTTGACGACATAAGCTTCAGATACTTCAAAAGCTATTTTCAACCTTCTCAAAGCTTCAGAGTCACGTCTGAAGGAGTGGAATTTGAGAAAGTACCTGCAGCTTACTCAGTAAAACAATTTGGAGCACTTAAAATTTCACTCTGAACACCTTGGGGTCAGTTAAAGACATTTAAAACTCCCAACTGTGCAAAATCGGCTTCAGATATTTCAAAAATTGATTTGAACACTTCAAAAGTGGACATCTGAGGGACTTCTGAAAACATAAGCTTCAGATACTTCAAAAACCATTTTGAACCTTTTCAAAGCTTTAGAGGCACGTCTGAAGGAGTAGAATTTGAGAAAGTACCTCCAGGTTACTCAGTAACCTCAGTCCCAAATGTGCAAAGTCGTCTTTAAATATCTTAAAGATTGATTTGAACACTTCAAAAGTGGACATCCGAGGGACTTCCGAAAACATAAGTTTCAAATACTTCAAAAGTCATTTTCAACCTTTTCAAAGCTTTAGAGTCACGTCTGAAGGAAAGGAATTTGAGAAAGTACCTTCAGGTTACTCAGTAAAACAATTTGGAACACTTAAAATCTTACTCTGAACACTTTGGGGTCAGTTATAAAGACGCATTTAAAAGTCCCAAATGTGCAAAATCGGTTTCAGATATTTTAAAAATTGATTTGAAGTAATTTGAACACTTCAAAAGTGGACATCTGAGGGACTTCTGGAAACATAAGCTTCAAATACTGCAAAAGCCATTTTGAACCTTTTCAAAGCTTCAGAGTCCCGTCTGAAAAAGTGGAATTTGAGAAAGTACCCTCAGGTTACTCAGTAAAACAATTTGGAACACTCAAAATCTCACTGAGAACACCTCGAGGTCAGTTAAGATGTGAATTTACAACATATATCTCATAGACAATAACGTCTTCTAGACGTCTTTTTTTGGTCTTCAGACGTTCAGACGTAGGCAGGCCTATAAAATACGTCTTTAAGACTTTGTGAGTCTGGGGAATTATAGAACGATAAATTTATCTTGCAGGTAGTTATCAGCATGTTTATTTGAAGAATAAACCGGGCCTTAGTCATTGAATTTTTCCAGAACATTTTGATTCTATCATTGATACAATCGTCCAAAAATCAATCTCTCTTAAGGCAGTTGATTCATCTTTAGATAAATTTACTGGTAACTATCTGCAAGATAAAATTTACCGTTTTGTAATCCTATTGGTCGCCGGATAACTGACCGACCAATGGGATTCCAGGTGAATAAACTGGCCCTTAGGGACAAATTATGGACCGACTGGTAACGTTATTGGCAAATTTATCCTGCTGATAAACCCAAAAATTACATTGAATTTTCAGTCTTAAGTAGGGTAAACTTGCCAGAGACATTGCCAATCAGTTCATAATTTGGCTCTTAATAGACTTAATACCATGGTACATAACAGTTTCTGGACTTTGTAAAGGAAAATTATGATTCGATCCTCTTCTGGTACGCTGTAGACACGACTGGAAGTGTAGATGGAAACTGTAGTCCAAAGTTTTACGTTCAAAGGAGTGTTTTTGATTTTGAAAAGATGTGAGGGAGTAATATTGTAGATAAAACAGTTACTTGTCATAAGTATTAGCTTTTCGACTTTGTACAAGAAAATGATGATTTTTTTGCTACCTGTAGATACCCACTGTAGGTTGAAAGTCTAACATAACTGAATTTTGTTTTAAGTGATATTATTATCCGATCGTCTCAGAAATGTAATAAAAATCCCCTTAATAACCACTTTTGTTAATGATCGCATTATTTGCAAGGTAACCCATATCATTAGTCACCGGAAACCTCAAATTTAAGAAAAAACATCCAATTTGCTTATTACTTTTCAAAGTTATTCGGTTACCTTCACCCTACTTTTGTATTGCATCAGAAAAAATACAGTATAATTTATTTACTTTTTAATTTTTTTTTGAGGAAACGTCCGTTGTCCGTTTCCATCGGCCTTCACGGAAACATCAAAATCTGCTATGGCCCAACAAGTTTGGCAACCTTATTATTAACACCAAAAATATGCAAATAAAGGAAACCAGATAACTAGGTGTTCTTTTATTGAATTTGCTTTATGTTTTAAAAGGAAATCCTGTGTATACTTAATAGTATTACCAAACTTTGGTATTACCAAGAATTAAAACGACGTTTGAATTATTACCAGTTTTGGGATAATAAGATTCTACATAGTTTTCTTATTATTCAAGATCCCAAAATCCACTGAATCCATTCACTGTTCAAAAACATTAGCAAAAAATAAAACACGCGATCCAATATATACTTAATTAATTCTTCTAATTTGCAATGATCTACTTTCATTTTGGAAAAAATGTTGAAGGTCTTCAGTAGGTTTGCCAAAAAAATATTATCTAATCATCGACTAGACCAAATAAATCATAAAAACGCTCCTTCATTGGTTGTTCGCACATCAACCATCACCTTGAAATTACAAGACAAACCTTGAACCCGTTTATATTCCATTCTATACCCAATACTGAATGGACTTTGTCGGTTATTTTTTTGAATAGACAATTTCAAAGATACAGAAATTTGATGATGGTTGTTTCTTAAATTGTTTTTCACATTCTTCTAAATTTTTCTGTAACATAAGTTTAAACCTCCCTCTAAACCAATACGTGTAGACATCAAGTAAATATTTTCACCAAAACAAGTCATTGGGTATTGGGTACAAAGAATACGAACTATAAAAAATGCATATGCAAATTCACTCCAACAAAACCGGTCAAATAGTACCTCCTTTTCGATTGGGTTCCTGTAAACGCTCACCGGTACCACACGCGGTCAGTTTTCGGACGAATTTTAGATAAGTGGGCACCTATACTTGTATAAAAACTATCAC